AAGGAGCGCTCGAGTTTCCGAGGGACATTGGAACGCCGAGCTGTCCGTCACGCGCTCATCTGCATATTCGGGCGCCCGCCCCCTCCCCGCTCCTCCAGCTCCCGCCGCCGCCCGGCCGCGGCCAGGGGAGGGGCGGGACGCCGGTGGGGGAGGGGCGGCAGGCGGCGGGGAGGGACGCCCGGCTTTTGTGGCGCAGCCGCCTTGAGCGCCGCCCCAGCCCTGCGGCCGAGGCCCGGCCACCAAGCCCGGCCACTAGGCGCGGTCCGGGGCGCAGCCCCTTGTACTCCCCGCCTACTCCCAGCGCCCCCACTCGCTACCTCTGGCTGCCACCTCATCGGTTGCCCAGCGAGGGCTCCCCCTCCCAAGCAGCTACCCCCAGCCGCCCCTCTCCTCCCACTCCCCCGCACCGACGCGGGAGAGGACGCCGCAGTCCGGCCCCCGTGGGCCCCAAGGCGGGACGCTCGCTGGTGGCTCCCCTTTCCGCCCCGAGGAGCGCGGCCCCCGCGATTGCTCGCCCAGGCCCAGAAACGCGCCCGCGAAGGCAGGAGTGGCGCAGGTCGGTGGCAAAGCCTGGGCCACCTTGGGGTGGAGTACGTGGGTTTCGCTTCCACCGAGCTCGGCTCCACCTCGTGGCCCAGAGGCTCCGCGCCTGGCTGCGAGTTCGATTGCCTGGCCGGTCGTCCCGCGCCCCCCAGCGTGTCCCCGCAGGCCAGATTTGGGGTGCCTTCCCGGCAAACTGCCTGGCGTTGCCCGAGGGAGAGTTTGTGCCCCGAGCGCGCAGAGACGTGGGGCTTCTCCGCGATGGCCGTTTCGTTACTGGAAGCGTCTTTGCACGCACCAACCGCGCTTAGCCCAGGAAGCCGCCCACCAGAAATGTTTGCATTTGATTTCATTTATTTTTAATAAGATGACGCCTTTCTTTGGATTCGTGTTGACAACACATTTGGGGACCCAACTGGTACTGGACAGACTGCCTCTGGCTCGAAGTGCATCTTCGCTGCCGCCTCTGCCTGTCAAACAGAAGGCAACTGGCAGGTGGAGGGGGCCAAGTCGACAGCACAGGTGGCTCAGGTAACGTTTGGGTCGCGCCTAGCAGGGACCTGAAGCTAAGGGACAATTTTGGTATCCAGGTTCCTCAACCTCCTCCCCCACCACCACCACCACTATGCTCTTTGGACCAGACTCTCCCACCCCCCCACCCCCACCCCAGGGTCCAGCAGAAGGCAGTGCTAGTAGTACAGGCCTGAGGGGACTAGGAAGGGGCTTCAAGGTACCCTTGGGGAGTTAGGGAGGGGGGCGGGGTCCGAGCTGGTATCTGGTCCCATGGGGCCCCTGACTCACCCAACAGGTGTCTCCCTAGTCCTGGGAGACCTTGAAGCTGGGGACCTCAGATAGGGAGTGCATCCTTCAGAGCCAGGGCTGGTGGGCCTAGGTTTGCTGGTTCTTGCACCCATCTTCCCCCCTTGCTCTGCCGCAATTTGTGGGGCAGCCTCAGATATTTCTTTCCTGGTGAAGCCTTGGAGAGAGTGAGTGGGTCCTGCATAGTCCCGATGTCCGGAGGCGGGGGGGAGGGTTGGGGGGAGGGGATAGAGGCTGTGTCCTGGACATAAGGCTCAGGTCAGATGGATGAATTTGCTGCCACCCTAGGTCAGGAGGATTGGTGACCAAAGGCAGTTTTCTTTGCCAATTGGGTTGATATTCCAGAGACCCAGGTAGTGTCCCTGCAGGTGGTCACCACTGCACCTGCCCCACACACCACTGCCCTCCTGCAAATCCCATCCCCCCACCCCACTTGCCTTCCTCAGCATCTGCAATGTACTATCCACGCCCATTCACACACACCCTCCTCTCCCAGGAAGACCCCCAGACAGCCACCCCTGGAGCTCCACCTCATAGGCCTCTTCAAACACTGAGGGTCACTCAGAACTCCTCCCCTCTCCCAGCTTGGAGGGTCTTTCCCCCCCCTCCCCCAACCCAGTTGTGGTCCCAGGAAGACCCTCTTTAGTTCCCTGACTGCATTTTCTATCCCTGGTGGCAGATTTCAAAAGAGAGACCAAGGGATGAGGGAGGAAGGTGAAGGGGACAGGGAAGGGAGGTGTGAAGAAACCTGCCACTCTGGTGGCATCTTCACTTACAGCCTATTTGGTCTTCTGGGGAAGGGACCAGGCAGGGACGAGGCTCCACATGGGAATAGTATGTTGGTCACATTTATTAGGACAGATCAAATGGGAGCATTTTGAGGTTGCTTTTAATCAGAATAATTTAAGTGAAAACAAGCCAAAATAAAAACTGAAATGAAGGGTGTAATTTTTGCCACCTGGAGGTGCGTCCCCATATTTCCATAACTAAAGAGCACCTCCTGCAGTCTTCATTTGCATTGGGGGCTCTTCCCGAGTTCCCCCCACCCCACTTACTCTCCCCTGGAGGCAGAAGGGGGCTAAGAAAAGAAAACCAGAGTTCTGACCAAAATCCCCAGAATTTGAAGCGGAAGGTAGGCTCTGGGTACAGAGGATTTGGGCATCAATTAAACATGTAATCAGCCAAGTCCATGTGGCACTGGAGGGTCCCCTGCTGTCCGGGAGGCGTCACAGGGAACTGTGCCCTTGTGTCCTAGGTCTTATGCTGGATTTGAAGACGCGAGTGTGTGTGTGTGTGTGTGTGTAGTCACACTCCCCTCCCCCAGCTCCCCCCTCCAGCAATTAACTCCTTCACCGAAATCTAAATTTTCCATACTGCTGCCTGCTCGTAATAAAACCGTCTACTCTGCACTATTAAACGGTGGAATCGTGCGCCATGCCGGTTTTATTGGTGGCAACTGTGGCAAATTAAAACGTCTCCTGGGGAACATTCAAACTTGCTCTCGGTACCAGGGAGCGGAAAGCTGGACCTGCGTTTCCCTTTCCAGCACCTCTGGTTTTTAAAACTCATTCCCCGCTCACACAGGTTCCTCTTCTCTCTGGACTGGCCCAAGACGCTGCGGAGTGCCGAGCGGCCTGGGTTTGCCTCGCGCCAAGGCTGGGGCTGCGCGCAGATGCGCGGGCAGCGGACAGTGGATGGTGGCGCTTGGGCAGACGGCTGCCGGGTCCTGGAGCGGGGACTGACTAACCCGGTACTGGGATGGGGCGCTGAGGAGGGTAGTGTTCCAGCTTCTGGAACCGGCCCGCGTGGGGTTGTACACTTTGCTTCTGCGACTTTGCCGCGGCCACCTGAGCTGGGGAGGAGGACGGACGTGCCCGCAGAGAACAATTGATGGATAATTGCCCCGAAAGGGTGGCCACTTCTAACAACGACCCAGGCCTCGCCCATGTGTACATGATTTGTTTAAGAGAACGAGGAGG